TTCTTTTACAGCTTTAGAGGGGTGTGACAATGCTATGGGGCCTTTAGGTTCCTAAGTGGCTGGAGAAGACAAAAGCTTAGGATAAAAGGACATAAGAGGGATCGAGAAGTCAGCCTCAAAGTAAACAACAACGACAAAGAAGGTAGCCTCAGTGCGCCTTGGTTTCTCCACCAATGAGAACCTTGAGCCCCCTCCCCACCTAGCTCCCTGGCCCCAGGGAGCCTAAACGATGCCTGCTCGGGTGGTCCAGAGACACATTCCCAGGGCTAGGAGGTGAGCATTCAGCCAAACTGTCACCCAGTACCATCATCATGCCCTCCCTTCACATCCCAGGAGACCGTTCTCTGACCTTCCTAAAAGGCAGAGAATTGAATGATCACGAACTGTTACCTCTAACACAGATATTTGAACTTTATCTCTCCAGAACCGTGCAGCCTTTCTGATTAGAGGAAACATCTGAGGGCCCACAGGAGCAGAAAGGAAAGAGAAAAGTCACATTTGGGACCATCCTCTAGGATGCTCTCACCGGCCAGCCTCACGAGGCCGCGTTTCCCACATGGACGTTCCTCCTCCTTCCATCCACACGCGGACGCCAGAATTCTCAGGCCTCCTGGGCAGTCCCCAGTAAACCAGCGGAAAGATGTCCTCGGGCTGTCAGGGGTTCTCACCATTCCCTGCCCATGGCTTTTATGTTGCCAATTACAATGCCCATGGATTTTATGCCAAAATGAGGATGCTTTAAATTAGAATTATTCCTTTCTAGCAACCCTCCCAAACCAACATAAAATATTTAATGCTCCACCTTGCTTTGTTTAAACCGATCTTGTGGCTGGAAATGTTGGCTGCTGTGCGCACCTTAGTGTTCCATCACAGAGAACGCAAAAGCCAAAGAAACTTTTATTCATAGGAGCTGCAGCTTTTTATGTCTTTAGTTCATCCCCACCAGAGACGTCATTTATTGAAGGCCATATGTGTGCATACCCACACACACACACACCTGTGTATATGTGCATGTGTGCATGCTTTACCTATGTTAATCCATTCATTTAATCAGCAAGCATTCATTGAGCACCTAGTGTCACACATCTAATTAGGCATTAGAGATAAAATGGTATGTTAAGTCCAAGGTCACAACTCTGTGACAACCTGTGGGAAAGGCAGATGATCAAATAAGTAATGGCTATGCAATGTGGTAAATGCAGGTTATTAAAAATATCTGAGGCAGTGACTGTGTGTCAGATGTTTGTAGCCACTGAGTCTAATTCTCACCACATCCTGCAGATGAGTGTGCTGTGGCTGGACCACAGTATCAGCCTGCATCACCATTTACATCTTAAATTCCCATCCTGGTCTCAATATGGCACCCGCCAACCTGCTTTACTCATTCAGGCATCAATCAAACTTTGCCCGGTATTATGCAGCACACACACACCCTGGGGAGCAAAGACCACCTGGAAGAACTGTCAAGCTGGCTACAAGGCCGGGGCATGGCATAGGGAAGTCTATGGTCACAGGCCAATGGGGTATTTCAGAAAGCAAGTCATTGGGCTCCTAAAAAAGGAGAGAGCATTGCGGGGTCATTTATTCAGGAGAGGGGACCCAGCTCTTCAGATCATGTGAGGTCAGACAGCAGAAGAGGGAAGAAGGCCAAGCCCTCAGGATAGGTGAGGTGCCCAGAAAGCTCACAGGTTAGGCTGAACCACAGCCAAGGGTGTAACCAGAGCCCAATGGTGGGACAAGCCAGCCTGACGCTGCCCCAAGTGCCAATTGATAAGAGAACTGAAGGCACCTGGGCATTAAAACCACCCAAGTATAACAGCAGACGGAGAAATCCGCATTTGTAAGAATTCCTCCCATATCCCACTACCTCCTGGGGTGCAGGGTGAGACCCCAAAGGGCCTCCTGGGGTCAATACAGTAGGTCACCAAGCAGCCTTCTGAAGGGGATGTCCATGTGCTGCAGGAACTCGTTTCCACTCGGAAGGTGTGCAAGTTGGGGGCCAGAGAGAGGTGCATTATTTAGAATCGGAGTGGAGAGGCCCAGTGCTGGCAGCAATGGGGCTCCCCATGACCCTTTCTCAGAGGGACTCCCTTCCCCAAACTGGTAAGCAGATATTGAAAAGATTATTGAATTTCAGGCCAAGTTATTAGCCAGCCTGGGACACCCACGTGTCTCGGCCAGTCCTGCAGATGATGTCTATATTTGTTTAACTCTTCACGGCTGATAAGATGCTTTTACATGTGTCAGATGACCTGATTTTCACAGCAGCCGTGAGATAATCGCTAGGCCTCTCCTTTTTTAGATGGAGATCCTGAGGGGCGGAGAGGAAAGTGACCTGTTCCAGGTAATAAAGCTAGCAAGTGGCAGAGCTGATTCTGGATCGGACATCTGTCCAGTGATCTATTAGCTGTATCACTACTGCAATAAACAGACGTTATCAAGTTCTTTAGGGTTCAAAGCCAACTTTTATAGCAGTCTGGGGCAGTACAAACAGACACACGCTAACACACATAAACAGACTGACAGACACAGACACACAGACACACCCCCATACTCATCCTCCAACATACATACTCTCCGTTTTCCCAAAAGTAAAATGACAATAATATTCTACTTATTATTGAATAATAATAATAGTTAAAAATAATAATAAATATTATTTAAAAATCTATTTTCCCTCCTCTAGCCGTGAACCTTGTCTCAGTACATCTCTAAGACAAGTAGCTATTATTTAGATGGCTGATATTATAGTATGTAAAGTCTTAAATACTAGCTGTTGGTCTGCATATATAACTCGCTGCTTAGAACAACCTTGCTTTTGTGTGAAATATCGGCCCATTTCCATTTTCTGCCACTAAAACTCCTGTCTCCACTCCCTATCTTCTCTCAGAAACACATGAGGCAGCATCTTTCCTACTGGTCTGTCCTACTGTCGGGACTTGTTTTCAGGAAGTGGCTATTTCCACTTAAAAATCATAGGACATAAAAATCAGAGGGCTTGAAAAAACAAAAAAAGAAAAAAAAACAACCCCACCCATTTTTTAAGCAAAAAAGAAAGTAAAAACAACAACCACCACCACTTAACCCATTTTTTAAGCAAAACCCAAAGCTTTAACAGCTAGAAGGGGCACATATCCTTTCTTTTGAAAAAAATCCCCAATTCTCAGTACTTCAGAGCCCTTCTTTCAAAGACAGAGGCCACAGAAATTAAATTATTCAATAAACAACTTGTCAATTATCCTTGCACAGTGGGGAGACAGTTATACACAGAAATGCAGACGGAGCCAAAATCAAAGCCAAGCGTCAGTGACAAACCCACAAACCACCCTCTGGCACGTTGGCCCAGGGCTCGTCCTCACACCCACAAAATAAAGATCGCAGACTCCCCAGCCAGCTACAGGGAGGCCTCGTTTGTTTGTTTTTCTTTCTTATAACACATAACTCTTAACTTAATTACCCCATTGGTGTGAGTGGTAGCTTTTAGCAAAAGATCTTAATGAAAATAAGGTCAATACACTCAATCCATACAGCAATCATCTCACCTGATTTCAGTCATCTCCCTAGAAGAGAATTTAGATAATCAGGCCACGCTACACGAACAGAATTCAAATACACATTTTCCCCCTCACTTTCCCCCTTTACCTCCAAAGGAAAACACCATAGGCCACGCTCGCTGGAAACCACTGGGATAAAGTGGTTTGGCTCTAGTTAAACGCAAGTATTTCAACTACATACTCATAAATCTTCATCTTAATCATAGCCACAGAGCATGAGTTTTGAGCGCTTTCCTCCTGATTTACTCAGTCAGTAAATCTCCCACAGAGAGCAAGCAGCTCCAAAGCCAGCCAACACTAAACATACACAGAAATATGCGGTTACAGTAACTTTTTAAAAATCGCCTGCATTTCTGCAGGGTGATTTAAACCCATAAGACATTTTTCAGTTAAGCTGGACTTTCACAATTCTCATTAGGTAATCCAGGGAGTGGCTGTTTGTAAATTTCCTCTTCACCCAAAGGAAGCTGATAGCATCAGGACATCAGGTGTATATGGAAAAATACATATTATATTTTGATACAAGTGTAAGTAGATGCATATTTTTTTAATTTGTTTAAAGATCCTTTTGCTCGCTTTAGGCACAATACAAACACGCTGCGGCCAGATTCCATAGGTTGAATTTAAATGTAGGTGTTCAAACTCGGTTTTCTGCTCCAAAAACGATGGGAGCTCAACACACCCTGTCCAATGCCCAGTCCATGGGAAACCAATCCAGCCCTCAGATGCCCCCCAAAGAAATCATTCTCATCATCACTTAGAAACGGAAGGACTTGACACCCAGCATCACAGCTCCCACAGCAATGGAACAGGCTCTGAATCCAGATGGCCACATTACACTCTCACGCATTGATTTGTTAAAAATTTAACGTTAGGCATGAAACCAAAGCTACCCCTCACACCAACTGGGTAATTAAATTCCTGGCTTGCGTCCGTTTCAAAATCCAAACCCAACATCAACATCTGGCAAGTCTCCATACTTGTGGGCACAAACCTTGTGCATGTGAGTGACTCCAAAAATTCAGAAGGAAGGCAAGAATGAAGATTTTTTTAAAAGCCCATGGGTTACTTTTATTTTTGGTTTTTAATAACCCCTGTTGCAATTATATCCTAGCTTTTGCCTCCATGTGTCTTGAGGGCAAAAGCTGATTAGAGTCACTGCAGACAATCCAGTCTGCTCTTGTCCAGGGGTCTTGATCAATATACTTTGCATCATAATCAAGCACTCCAACTGCCTCTCCACCCCAGTCCCTTTGCCTACATGGTTCATTTCTGGCCCTTTGCTAGCCCTCACCGGGAAACTCTTTTCTCTATGAATGTGCGCATCTCCTGGAAGGGTGAGGGAAGGAGACGCCAGGATTCAAACTGCATTTGTCCACAGCCCCCAGCCCCCAGTATTCTGCAGCCCCACCCCCCAGTAAGGTGCGCCTCTGGCACCCCCAGTACCTGCCAAGCTCCTCGCCGGTGTCGTAGTAGTCATCCACGTTTTCCTGCCTGAACACGGTCATGATAAGCCGTCACGCCTCACCAAAGCCCAGCGCGCTTCAGCTCCGCTTCCCACACCATCACCACCGCTCCTGCGCCTCCATGGGCCCCTCATGCATCAATCAGTCTCCGGTCCTTAAAAAATAAATAAAAGGCAAAATTACTAATAAAATAACAACCCAAACATATCTCGCCAGGGCTAAGACCCGCTGCTAAAGACCACTTTCCCGGAGCTGCCCCTCCCTCCCACCAGGTGGAGGGAGAGGAGCGAGCACCCTTTGTTAAAACCGGGCCAGGGGCGTCCCCAGCCCCGCGTCGCCGGTGCGCTCGGGGCCGGGCACAACCGCACCCCAAGACCCGCGTCCCCCTAAAGCAGGGTGCCCTGTACTGATAAGAACCAGCTCCGGAAGTGGCCGGCTTCCCCGCCACCCCTTATTCTGCACACACGCCCACCCAGCTCCCCACCTCCAGGGAAGAATGCAGCGGCGGCCCGGGCAGAGCGCGCCCGGCTGGACACGTCCCTCTCCAACAGGCATCGCATCGCGGGGCTCCCCCGCGCCACCTCCCGGCTCCCGCACCGCGGTCGCCACCCCCTCCTCCTCCCCGGAGCCAGGCAGGCAGTCCCTAGAGGCACATTCCTGGTGATTCCCGCTCCGTTACCGAGCCGACGCGGCGCGCGCCCGCCCGCCCGGGGGAACGGTGCAGGGAAGCGAGCGGCCGGGGGAGGCGCGGCCGCCCGCCGCCGCCCGTCTGCGCGCCCCGGACACAAAGCGGCCGGCCCGGCCCGCGCCACCTGTTCCCCCACCCGGCCCGCAGGGCTGGGGGCGCCTCCTTCTCCCCGCAGCCAAGTTCCCCCTCCTGGGCCTTCCCGGGAATCCGGGGCGCTGCCCCCGGCAAACCCGGCCGCGCTGGGGACGTGAAAGCAAAAGCAGGCGGCGGGGCCCCGGGGGGAGCCGAGGAGCCGAGGAGCTGTGCGCGGCCACTCACCCGGCGCCCGGGAGCCGCCGCCCGGGTCCCTCCGAGCGCGGCGGGAGGCCGATTGCTGGCGCCGGCGCGGAGCCGGGCGGTGGCGAGGGCGCAGGGAGGGAGCGAGCGGGGAGCGCGGAGCCCGTGCGCCCGCCCCGGCGTCTGCTCGGTCGGGCTTTCCCGCTCCGGCTCGGGAGCAGCCCCTCGGCTCCTCGCCGCCGGCTTCCGGGCGACGGGCGGCCGACGAGCGACCAATGGGGACCCCGCGGGCGGGCTGGCGGCTCGGCCCACCCACCTCCAGGCTGCCTGGCCCGGCCGGCGCTGCAGATCGCGAGCTGCTGAGCAGCGCCCTGTGCTCTCCGCGGCTCCCCGCTCCGGGCTCACTGGCGCGCTCTACCGCGCACACCCCGCACACACCCACTCCACACCCCGCACCGACCCACCCACTCACGCCCACGCCAGGAGGGGGCGAGCGCAGCCGCGTGCAGCGTGGGCGCCCCACCTGTGACAGCCGCGGTGCTGCCCGCTTCGGCCGGGGTGCCAGAGAAATGCGACTCCTGGGTCCCGCAAAAGGGATCGCCGGCGGCGGGGTGCCGGGAAGGGTGCTCGCCACGGGAAAATAGCCGAGACCAAAATAGATTTTTTTTTAATTTGATTTTTTATTGATTTTTTTTTTTACAGAGAGGAAGAGAGAGGGATTGAACGTTAGAAACATCGATGAGAGAGAGTCACCGATCAGCTGCCTCTTGCACACCCCCTTCTGGGGATGTGCCCACAACCAAGGTACATGTCCTTGACCGGAATCGAACCAGGGACCCTTCAGTCCGCACTCTATCCACTGAGCCAAACCGGTTTCAGTCAAAATAGATTAAAAAAAATATATCCTGTCCTCGTGAAACTTACATTCTGGTGGAGAAGATGCAAGCAAAATAAGATTGTTTTCGAAGAGATCAGTGCAATGGAGACAATAAAAAACAGGATAGCCGGGACGGGTTTGCTCAGTGGATAGCGCGTCGGACTGCGGACTGAAAGGTCCCGGGTTCAATTCCGGTCAAGGGCATGTACCTTGGTTGCGGGCACATCCCCAGTAGGGGGTGTGCAAGAGGCGGCTGATCGGTGACTCTCCCTCATAGATGTTTCTAACTCTCTATTCCTCTCTCTTCCTCTCTGTGAAAAATCAATAAAATATATATAATAAAACAAAACAAAACAAAACAAAACAGGATAATGAGGTAGAGGATGACAAGGAGGAAGTGGGCAGCATTCGATGGAGTTTTTCCTCCAAGATAGGTGTTTTGAGCTCATGATAGCTATAAAAGGCGTGCTGCCGGAGAAAAAATGGGTGGAGGTCTCAGAGGCCCAAGGAAGCAGCAGAAACCAAGGGGTGTCTATGAGCACTGCCCAATACAGTCCTGGCTGTTGGTGAGTTGAAATGAGGCTATGATAGTTCCAAATTAGGTGTGCAATAGATGTGAAATACGCATTGGATTCAGTGACAGTAAGGAAATAAGAATGAAAAATACCCCATAAATACTTTCATATTAACCCCATGTTCAAATGGTAGTACTTCGAATATATTGGGTTAAATAAACTATATTATTAAAATTAACTTCACCTTTTACTTTTTAAAATGTGGCTATTAGAAAATATAAAAGTACCAGTGTTATATTTCTTTGGGCTGAGGTAGCCTACAGGCAGAACCCATATCTAGTTCTCTGTACTTCTTACCTACCCCATGTTTCCATGAAGCCTGTGGGTGTGGGAAACAGAAAGGACGGTTCCCCCATAGGAACTGCTAGGGATCCCCAGAGAGAGGCCCCCGCAGGGAAATCTGCCTTCCTGCCTAGAATTATAAAAAATGATACGTGAGACCTCTGAGATTTCAGATCCACAGCATTGTTCAAATTCCCAGATTTTCTAATTTAAACTGTCTTTGTTCAACAGGAATTTTCAGCCTTTGATATTATGGGGGTGTGTGGGGGGGTGATGCCCCTCAGACCTTAGGTCATTCCGTCTCTTATCTAACACTTTAATAGCCCACTGGAAGGGCACATTTTTGTGAGATAGAATCGAGGGAAGGATCTACATTAGAAGGTGGTATGAACCCAAGTGGTGGGGTTTGAGGATTAACACAAAAGGATCTTGGGAAGTGAGAAATAGTAATAACTAACTAACTAACAAATAAATAAATAATTCATTTAGCTGAAACTGGTTTGGCTCAGTGGATAGAGTGTTGGCCTTCGGACTGAAGGGTCCCAGGTTCAATTCAGGTCAGGGGCATGTGCCTTGGTTGTGGGCACATCCCCAGAACGGGGAGTGAGAGAGGCAGCTGGTCTATGTTTCTCTCTCAACGATGTTTCTGACTATCCCTCTCTTCCTCTCTGTAAAAAAAAAAATCAATAAAAAAAATATATTTTTAAAAAAGTGATTCATCTGGGGGAAATGCAAATAAATACATCTGTCACAAGGAAAATTAAAACACAGATGTTTGGCAGAAACTTGGAAAGTGCTTATGGTTGACTGCTTTATAGATAACATTTTTTTCCTGCAAACTAAATGTGTTTTTTCAAGGCAATGAAAAATATTGGCCCCATTAGGGCACTGGCATGTCTTCCCTTCTCTATGCGACATACTGATCACAGGAGGTTTCTGGGGATAACGAAAAAGAGCATGGACTTGGGAATCACAAACTTGGGTTAATTTTGGCGGAACCATTTCACACTGAATGACACTGGGTGTGTCACTTCACTTATTCCTGAGCTTCATGTCTGTGCTAATTTAGGCAAGCATTTTAGAGAAGGAAAATGCGGTAGTTGAAGAGCATACCCCAAAACTCAGCCAAGAAGTAGATTCTACTTCCCTTTCCCTTGAATATGACTTGGCATCTAAGAAAATATGATGGAAGTGATGTCCTTCCCATCACAGGCAAGGTCATACGGTGTCAGAGCTTCTGCCCGTCTGCCTTTCTGTCTGTCTCTTTTTCTCTCTTGAACCTGCACTTTTCTGGCTCTCTCCACTCACTCTGGAAGTCGTCAGCTGCCATGGTTACCCCGGGGCTGCCATGTGGAGAGATCACAGACAGAGAGAAGGAAGCCAGCTGTTCCAGCCCTGCCCCTCACCCCAGCTATTTGTGTTTTTACAGCCCAAGTTTTGTAAGCAGAATAAATGGTTGTTACTGTTTTAAGTCCTTATTTTGGGGAGGTTTGTTATACACCAATGGATAAGTGATAAGGAAATTACAAAGAAAACAAGAAAACTTGACTTGTAACAATTATTTTCTCACTTATTCCTCAAATAACTCTGTAAATTAGGTTCTACACACACACACACACACACACACACACACACACACACACACACACACACTTTATACTTAACCTTCTTAGTATCAGTTTCATCACCTGCAAAATGGGGGCAATAATAGGGCCTTGCATTTTCTTCGGAGTTGTTGGGAGAATCCAAAGAGATAATGCAGAAAACAAGACTCTGTACATTATAAAAATGCATAGAATGTCAGTGTTATATTTTTCATCATGTTCCAAGCAAGAAGGGCTCTCACATGGCACATGACAACACAGTAGCCCTGAAGCTATGAGATTCAAGCTGGAAAGGACTTTCATGAAAATAACTGATGCTATAGACAACAGATTATGATCATCATGCTGATAGCTTTGAAAACAGTCTCAACTATAAAATTTAGAATTTTGTTTTATATGTATTAGTCAGGGTAAGAAACCTACTGCTGTGAAACCCAACAGATATGGGAGGCTTGACCCATTAAAGGTTTATTTCTTGCTCTCAGGACAGATGTTTAGAGAGGGTAGGGAGTGGGCTCTACTCCACATAGCATTCAGGGACTCAGGTTTTGCCCTCCTCGGTGCGTCTGAGTTTCTCAGTTGGTCCTTTTCATCTATTGGCTGATAAGAGAGAATCCAAGTCATACTGGCCAGGCTAGAAGTTTAAGGCTTAATCATTTGAGGAGAGCGGGGCTGGGGTGGGGAGTTTTTAAGATCAACCGAAGTGAATTATACGAACTCAATTAACCTCTGGGCTATTTTTTAATAGCAGGCCTCTGGCTTTCAGTAAGGGTTAATACTTTCAAATGGCTCCACGAGAAAGCTTCAGCACCCAGGGTTTTGCTGTTGGAGATATTGCCCATTATGCAACTGAGTGCTTCTTGTATAAGCAGTCTCATAACTGACTCCAGTTCCTCTCAGTGTTGAGTGCTAAGAGAACTTGCCTCTTTTGACCAAATGTTTCTTTCTTTTTCTTTTTCTCTCCCCCCCACTCCCCCCGATAATGAAAATTATAGAGCTTACTCTGCTCTCTATTTCTGCCTGGATATTCCTCATAGTTGTTGGAAGAATCTAAAGAGATAATGCACAAAACAAGATAATGCAGAAAGCACATGCCAAGCTCAGAAAGTACCGTCCTCCAAGTGAAGTCCATTTACCATGTCCTCCGAATCAATCAATAAGCATTTATTATCTAGTATATATTAGACACTAAGGATGCAGCGATAAAAGGAACATTCTCTGTCCTCAAGTAACTCAGTCTAGTGAAAAAGACCAACGAACAAAGAGACAATTCCATTAAAGTGTGATTGAGCCAGATACAATCCATTTGCTTCTCTAGATTACTACCTACTCTTCTCCACCCTGACAATCAGCAAGCTGAGCTATAAGATTTTTTAAACTTCTTGTCCTCTGGCTTCTGGTCCATTTGGCCAGTGAGGAATTTTGGCATGAGGTCCAGAAGAAGGGAGGAGAATGAGGCCAGGATTCTCTTGCTTTTCTCTCTGTAAGGTTGCCTCAATTACTACCAGGCAAAAAGCACCATGCCTCATCAGATAAACTTTTTTCATGTGATTTTCTCTGTCCAGGCTTTGCTAACCACTCTCTCTCTCCTTGTCTCTTTGGACCTAGAGTTGGTGCCAGCTCCACTGTTACTAACCTGTATTCCTACCCCATTTCTTATGGTTCCCCTGCACCTCCTTGAATTATCCTCATTTGAATATGTCTTCTCTTTCCTCTGGGACCCTGCTTGATAGAGTAAGAGAGCAGAATCTCAGACTGCTGTGGAAACACAAAGGTCATAGCACTTACTTCAGATAAAGGCTAGGGATGGGGGGTAATCATAGGGGTAAGCCTAGGGTTTTAGAAAAGTTTCCTAGAGGAGCTGACATCCTAGTAAAAAAACATGAAAGAAGAGTAAGAACAGAAAAAAATGGTGGATGATGGGATGGTAAGGTTGGGAGATCCGAAGAGCATCTAGACAGAGGAAAAGAATGAGATAAAAATCACAGATGCAAGGAAGATAATGGCTCGTTCAGGCATCGATAAGTAGTAACAGGTCACACAATGAAATGGCA